AATTCCTGGGACCAGATGAAATCCAGGTCTCCTACTCCTCTGCCATCTTGCTCCTCCCCCCACAATGTAATTTTAAAGAAGAAAGTGGAAACTGGAAATTCATACTACTAAATATCAAGACTTGTTGTAAAGTTAAAGTAATTAAACCATTGCAGTGTTGGTATCAGGATAGATAAACTGTCCTCTAGACTAAAATAGAAAATATTATTTCAGAGGAATTGCAGACCAAAATGTTTTAATAAAAAGCTCAAAGAAAATTTAATGCCAGGTACACTCAAAGATTTCTTTAATCCTACAAAATCAGTTACATATAAAGGAAAATAATGATACATGTATTATGTGATGATTAAATTGATTAGATAGAGATTTGAGGTTCCAGAAGGATGCACCAGACATACATTTCTACTATGTACAGTTAAAAAAACAATTTTATATGTAAAGCAAACATAAGAATATTTTAAAAGCTGAAGAGAGAAAGGCAGACTAGGCAGGGACTTAACCCAAGGAACTACATAGCAATGAGTTCCCTTTTAGTTTTGCTTCATATATCCCAAGCCTGGTGTCAGAAAAGCTAGCAATTCAAAAATGCTGTATGGAACAGACAAAAAGAAGTCCCATCAAGGAAAGCCTGACTTCTTTAGTGAAAGGAGCAATCTAGCAAAGAGTACACTTTTGAATAAAAACTGTTCTACTTCAACCAAACACAGAAAAAATTGTGGTCATACCTTCTCTCTCACAGGGTGGTATGAGCAGAGGCCCAGCGGTGTCTGTCCTTCCTTATTCCTTGTAGTAATGAGGAGCCTTTCTCATCTCAGGTATTAGTGGCCTTCCAACCTTACTTGCAATAATGAGGCAATGTCCCTTATCTTCCCTCTAGAGCTCCAACAGGAACTGTTAAAACAGGTTTAAACAGAATTCAGAATCTCGTAACATAAAACTCAAAATATCTAGGTTTCAATAAAAAATCACTCTTCATACCAAGAACCAGGAAAATCTCAACTTGAAATAGAACAAAACAAAACAAAACACTGACACCAAGATAACACCAAGATGATACCAGTATACTTCAAAGAATGTAAGCAGCCATCATTAGCATATTTTAAGAGCAATTACAAGCATGCTTGAAACTACTAATGAAACAATAGAAAGTACATCTGAAACTAATGAGGTACTATATGTTGTCTAATAGCATTTAATATAAAAAAGAGAAAGATACAATAGAAAGTTCCAGCATACAGAGAGAAGACATAAAAAAGAACCAAGTGGAAATTTTAGAAATAAAAAAAAATAATAATATATAAAACTCAGTGATAGGCTCAGGAGCAGAATGGAGGGGACAGGGTAAAGAATCAGTAAAGCTGAAGAGAGAACCATAGAAAGTACCCAATCTGAATAACAGAAAGTTGACTGAAAAACAATGAATAGAGCCTTAGCGACCTGTGAGATTATAACAAAAGATATAATATCCATGACAGTCTCATTCTAGAAGAATAGGAGAAATAATTTAAGGATGGAAAAATATTTGAGGAAATAATACCTGGGAAGTTTTCAGATTTGCCAAAAAGCATAAGCCTAAAAATGCAAGAAGCTGTAAGAATATCATATAGGATGAAACCAGTAAAATTCACAGTAGGATACAGCATAATTAAATTAATGAAAATTAAGACAAAGAATCTTAAAAAAAATAGTGAGAGTGGAACAACATCTTACCTACAGGGAAAATACAATTATAATGACAGCAATTGAAATAAAACCATATGAGGACTAGGCATACAAATGCCACAGTAGATTGCCATGCTGGTTTGTCTCACTATCCTGTATTACAAATCACCCATCTGTCCATCAGTGATTCTCTGCCTGGGAAAGTCTGATCATTAGCCTATGTCCAACTGGCCAATGTCCCCATGGAGGGAGACCAAAGAAAGGAGTGAGAAAGGAAGGAAAGGGAAGGAAATGGAACAGAAGAGAAGGGGAGGAAGGAAGGAAGGAAGGGAGGGAGGGAGATTGACTTTTCCTAGTTGGTTCAGTAGGAGCTTTAAGTTGGCATGACATTTTACTCCTACATTATTTTTTTTTTAAAGATTTTATTTATTTATTTGAGAGAGAGAGAATGAGAGATAGAAAGCACGAGAGGGAAGAGGGTCAGAGGGAGAAGCAGACTCCCCGCTGAGCAGGGAGCCCGATGCGGGACTCGACCCCGGGACTCCAGGATCATGACCTGAGCCGAAGGCAGTCGCTTAACCAACTGAGCCACCCAGGCGCCCCTATTTTTAATTAAAAAAAAAACTGACAGCCTTTTCCATGTGACAAGGATTTGTCAAATGACAGTCTTCATTTGGGAATTAGTCATTTAGGTCATGGTATTTCCAGTAGTTTAATTGGATAGCGACTCTCCTAGAGGACAGACCACCTGAAAAGCCCAAATTCTATAATCATCATTAATTCAATTGCTTTAGGAAACAAAATACCTTTAGAAATTTTCTCCCTTGGGATAAAAGTGTTGTGTTGACTGCATTTTGTAATTGAGAGAAAGGAGAGGTGAGTAGTGAATATGAGAGCTAACTACTTCTGTGGTTTTGTGGACATTTCCATGGATAATTCCACATTTTAACTTCCCCCCTGCCCAACCTGCACTTTTGGCTCTTCTTCCTTTGCTTTTTCTTATTACTCTAAGGCTGCAGATCCTCCAGAGCATTGTGAGGCTGATGCACCCGTCTCTCTCCTTTACCATTGTATTTGATGTGGTTACTTCCTCACTTCATTTTATCCATCAGTGGCCTTCATTTTATTTTGAAATCCCAGGAAGTTCTTAAATCTCTCTAATTGTTTTGTTCCAATTCTCCTTTACTCACATTAATTAGGAAAAGGGGAGCAATTGTGAGTGCCATGTTTGTGAATTTGAATTGGAATTATTCTGTAGTTATTTAGAAAATTCATCAGATATACTTTATTTTCATCGTTACTCTACATTGTTCAGTTGATTTCAGAGTGGTTAGAAAGGAAAGATGTCTTTACCTTACTCTCATTAACTGTGGGTCTTTCGTAAAAATTATCTTGATAAGAAGAGAAAGAGGGAGAGAGGGGAGACTTTATATCTTATTTATAACATGATTAAAAATATGTCTCTTATTAATCATAATAAAATTTTAAATAAAACACATGTATTTAATACTGTAATACACTGAGCAAAAAGTATACTGCATGGAGATAAGCATTATTCCAACAATGCAAGTTTGCTTAATATTAGATGTGATAGAAAGTTTGATTTTTTTTTTTAACTTACAAGACAGAACAGGAGAATAGTTTATTGAAGTGATTTCTAGCTCACTTAGATAGGGTAGGGAAGATAAACACATCTCAGCACATTCATTTTAAACTTGAAGAGGGGTATGTTTGGGGCATTTAATTGTCCAAAATTAGATAAGCTAATCATTGAATAAATAAATAAAATTAACTACCTTTTTCTTACTCATACCTGGGCCTATAAGAAAATATGCTCACATAATCCAGACATTTCTCTTTAGGAAATGTGTGTGTACTTATATATATGTAGTTTTTTCTTTGAAACGTGATATGATTGCTTCTGGGACACTATTTGTGTCTCTTGTTCAAAGAAGGAAATCTTGTAGATTATATTCAAAACATCATCCCACCCATTGCCCAGGGCAAAGTACTTTTATAGTGTCTCTTGCTTTTGCTGTCATTACAAAAGAGCCAGCTACAAATTGATCTGTTTACTTGAAAGAAACTATCAGAAGCATGGGTCTTAACTTTTCCTGGATTATTTTTCCCCTATAGACAACCCAGTGAAATATGACTGGTTTATTATTGCCTCGTGACAATGTTTAAGGAGAACTAGAATGAAGATGGTTTTATGGACAGGGAATGCTGGTTTGTCCAATATTTTGTTATTCTTGCTGGCTTCATCAGAGCACTTACAGTTAATGAACAAGATGATATTCTTTCCTTTATGATGATAATTGGTTAACGGTGATAGAAAATAATGATTTTTAAGACTATTCATCATATGGTGGATATTCTATCAGATAACTTGAGAAAAGTCAGCAGATAATCTTAGAAAATACCCCAAAGATATTTAGACTAAATTAAAATTTGAATAGAGGAATAAGCACTTAAAGTCTACACAAAAATGAAGTAAATAAACAATTAAAACAGTATCTTGTATTAGTGAGCATTTACTATGTGCCAAACATCACTTTTATCCCTTTATGTCTAACAAATTGCTTCATCCTTATAGCCTACATTTTTTTATAACTTATAGTTTAAAAAAATTTGGGTATCAATTGCTATTCCAAATTCAAAGATGGATAAGCTGAGGCATGGAGGGATTAAATAATTTACACTAGGGTCATGCTGCTAATGTGAAAGAGAAGAGATATTATCATTAATGTTGGAAATAAATATAAAAATGACAGGAACAGTGATATTTAACATTGATCAATAAATATGTGGCTCTGTGACTAAAGTAGTTCTTTTACTGAATATTGGGTCTGTCAGTAACTTATGCATGACCTTAAAAGAGTACATTTATTTTTAGCAAATATAAAATGAGAATAAAAACATCTTCACAGGGTCAATCAGTATATATTATAAAAGTGCATAGAAAATGCAAAGACAGATCCTAGCTCATTCCAAATGGTCAGTACAATTGACTATATTTGTTCTTATGCCAGTTAGTACCAATAAACTCACAGCTGTGCTCCCTCATGGGGAAAAAATAGTATCTCATTCTCAGAATTTTATATGTGGTAGTGTAATAGCATGCCATTTGGACTCCCAACTTCTTTTATTAGAAGGAGTAGATGTCATGAAATCTAGATTCATCTGGTGTGTATGCATGTGTGTGTGTGTGTGTGTGTGTGTATGTGGGAGTGTGTATTTTTACCTATCTTGTGCATCTAATTTTTCTACCAAGTACAATTGCTCAACTCTTGACTTTACATTTAAAATTTTTGTTGTTGGCTGTTTTAACATTTTAGTATTGTTTTCTTGGAAACTGCCGAGAAGCTAGTGACTACCCAAATAGACCAAATTGTCAGTCAGAAAAAAATTGCAGTGGACATGGGGTATGTAATATTTCCTCTATTTTATATATAGTGTATGTACAACAACAACAATGTCCATTACACCATTATTTACATTAGTTAAGTAAAAATTTGACATTATCTAAAAGTCCATTGGTAAATGAGTTTTCAAATATAGTATGGAAGAGACATACATGGAAATAAACTGGAGCTATTAAAGGACAAAAGAGATCTGAATGGACAAGAAATTCTGCTCTCACAAAAAGATTATAAGTAATATGTGTAATATAAATATATTAAGTGATTTCTTAAATTGTTAGCAATGAAATCTGATGGGTCAAATTTATGCACCATTTAAATTTTCACAAATACTATGTTTTTTAGAAATATTTTACCAGTTTTTGCTCTCACCTATCATGAATGAAAATGTGCATTTTCTCAAATTCGAGCCAGACTATCTTCTTAGTTTTTAAAATTTCTTCTCACATGCTGAATCTATTGTTAATTTGCATTTAGTTAAGAAATAAAGATACAGTTCTTAAGCATGTATGTATCCTTATATTTGCCATTTAACATTTCTATTTGCCCATCCATTGTGAAATTATCTACCAGGGTGTAGAAATTCTGTAAATTTTTCCAAGTTTGCCTTTGGCTTTGACTTTGTGGCTAGTGTCTCCTGCCATATTGATGCTTCATATTTTATATAATTATCCAGGAAAAAAGTGACCTGCCTGCATGATTTGTATCAAAATTTTCTTCTAAATAACTTTCATGTCCTACATTAGTGGTTTCTTTTCTGTTTTTTTCCTTCTTGTATAATTTAAATTTAATTTCTGTATCAATCTATGTCTAGATTCTCTATTCTGCTTCTGACCCTTTTGACTCATCCACCAGATCACATTTATAGATATTTTCTAGCCTTCCTATTTCTAGCAAAATACATTTTGGTATCTGTGTCTGGCTAAGAAAGCTTTTTCCTTTATGTTTTTCCCCCAATTTTTTGTAAAAGTTGGCTCTTATCACAGGCATTTTTTTAAATCTAGCACAATTTATAATATGTCAACTCCCATTACTTTATAATTTCTAGCTTCATAATTTCTATGCCTTTTTAGAATAAGGCATTTTCATTGTATCAGAATGCTATCTATTATTATTTAAAAATAAGAGACAAATAAGAAGTATCTATGACATTGAACAGATATTGCAAAGACATTTATTATATTACATTTTATTGTAAAAATTATTTTCCACATTAAAGTAAAAACTGTATATATGAAGTGACCATATTTTAATAACTTACATTGACTAGCAGTCACAAATAATGCATTTAACTTTTGCATTGTACCTAAAATGTTCTAATTTTTGTTTGGTTTTGGTTTTAGGTTTGCAATAATTTGCTTAATTGTCACTGTGATGTTGGATATTCTCCTCCAGACTGTGAACCAACACCATCATCACCAGGAGGAAGTTATGATGATGGGTTTTGGTATCCAGAGAGTTAGTATCTAGATCAGTGTGCTTCAATAGAGCTTTCTGTACTTATAGAAATGGTCTTCACTGACTATGTGGCTGTTAATCACCTGGCATGTCAATAGTGCAACTAAAGAACTAAAATTTCCATTTTATTTTACTTTATTTAATTTAAATTTAAGTAGCCATTTGTGGCTAGTGGCAACTATATTAAACAGTACAGCTCTAGATCATACTGTCAATCAAAACATTTCTGTTTATACAGCAGAGTTTTATAGATAAGTATGGTTAAATTACAGAATGGGTGATAGTTTTATTATATACTCTGTATATTCCAAGGATGCTAACTATTGTAATGTGCTAGTTGCATCTTTCAAATGACCATACTATTGAAAGGTAAAAGTAACAAAATCTATAACCACAGCATATGGGTAGTAGATGGCATGAAACATTTTTAAATTTATTTGGTGAACATTCATGAACATTTGTTCATGTCCTTCATAGCATATTCATTTGTTCTAAATACTATAATGTAAAAATCTCATAAGAATATAATTCCATTAATGTCTTTCCATCATTTGTGCTTTTGTAATTATGCGTATATGTTTATATAAACCTGACAATACATTATTATGTTTGCCTTAAACAGCCAATGGAAAGTTAAAGATTTTTTAATATAAATATTTCCATTTACCCATCCATTTACTGTTTTCAAGGACTTCAACTCTTCCAGCAAATTCATATTTCCATGTGGGTCATTTTCTTTCTCACTGAAAAACTTCTTTTAAAAAAAAAATATAAATATGTACACACACACACACACACACACACACCTTGTGGTGACCAATTATTCTCAGCTTTTGTCTTTAAAATATTTTTATAAAATGTCTTAAATTGTGAAGTGTATTCTCACTGGAAGTAGAATTCTTCATTGATAATTTTTACTTTCAGCCATTCAAAGATGTAATTCAATTGTATCCTTAGTCTCATTTTAGGTCTTTCTCTATTTTGAATTTATTTTTGGGTATGGTGTCAGAAGGTGGTCCATTATCATTCCTCTGCATGTTGCTGTCCAGTACTTCTGACACCATTTGTTGAAGAGACTGTTTTTTTTTTTTTTCCATTGTATATTCTTTCCTGCTTTGTTGAAGATTAGTTGACCATAGAGTTGTGGGTCCATTTCTGGGTTCTCTATTCTGTTCCATTGATCTCTGTGTCTGTTTTTATGCCAGTACCATACTGTCTTCACTACAGCTTTGTAATATAGCTTGAAGTCTGGAATTGTGATGCCTCCAGGTTTGCTTTTCTTTTTCAAGTTTGCTTTGCCTATTTGGGGTCTTTTGTGGTTCTATCCAGGTTTTAGGATTGTTTGTTCTAGCTCTGTGAAAAATCCTGTTGGTATTTTGATAGGGATTGCATTAAATGTGTAGATTGTTTTGGGTAGTATAGACATTTTAACAATATTTGTTATTCCAATCCATGAGCATGGAATGCTTTTCCATTTGTGTCCTCTTCAATTTCTTTCATCAGTGTTCTATAGTTTTCAGAGTATAGGTCTTTCACCTCTTTGGTTAGGTTTATTCCTAGGTATCTTATTGTTTTCAGTGTGATTGTAAATGGGTCAGTTCCTTGAACTCTATTTGATTCTTCATTATTGGTATATAAGAATGCAACAGATTTCTGTATGTTGATTTTATATCCTGCAATTTTGCTGAATTCCTGTATCAATTCCAGCAATTTTGGGGTGGAGTCTTTGGGGTTTTCTACATAAAGTATCCTGTTGTCTGCAAATAGTGCAAGTTTGACTTCTTCCTGGGTGATTTGGATGCCTTTTATATCTTTTTGTTCTCTGATTGCTAAGTCTAAGACTTCTAGTACTATATTAAATAAGAATGGTGAAAGTGGACATAGTTCTTATTCCTGACCATAGAAGAAAAGCTCTAAGTTTTTCCCCATTGTGGATAATATTAGCTGTGTGTCTTTTGTCTTTGGCCTTTATGATATTGAGATATGTTCCATCTATCCCCACTTTGTTGAGGGTTTTTATCAAGAATGGATGCTGTACTTTGTCAAATGCTTTTTCTGAATCTATTGAGAGGATCATATGGTTCTTATCCTTTCTTTTCTTAGTGTGCCATATCATGTTCATTGATTTGCAAATAATGAACCACCCCTGCAGCTCAGAAATAAATCCCACTTTATTGTAGTGTATAATTCATTTAATGTATTGTTGAATTTAATTTGCTAGTATCTTCTTGAGAATTTTTGCATCCATGTTCATCAGAGATATTGGCCTGTAATTTTCCCCTTTAGTGGAGCCTTTGTTTTGGAATCAAGGTAATACTGGCCTTAGAGAATTAGTTTGAAAATTTTCCTTCCAATTCTATTTTTTGGAACAGTTTGAGAAGTATAGGTATTAATTCTTCTTTAAATGTCTGGTAGAATTTCCCTGGAAGCCATTTGGCCCTGGACTTTTGTTTGTTGGAAGATTTTTGATTACTGCTTCAATTTCTTTGCTAAGGGTCTGTTCAAATTTTCTGGTTTTTTCCTGTTTTAGTTTTAGCAGTTTGTATGTTTCTAGGAATTTACTCATTATTTCTTCCAGATTCCCCTTTTGTTGGCATATAATTTTTTGTAATATTCCTTTATAATTGTTTACATTTCTGTGGTGGTCATTGTGATTTCTCTTCTCTCATTTGTGATTTTATTTATTTGGGTCCTTTCTCTTTTCTTTTTGATATGTCTGGTGAGGGGTTTATCAATTAATTCCTTCAAAGAAACAACTCTTAATTTTTGTCAATCTGTTCTACCTTTTTTTTCTATATCGTTTATTTTTGTTCCAATCCTTATTATTTCCCTTTCACTTCTGACGTTAGGCTTCATTTGTTGTTCTTTTCTAGCTCATTTAGGTGTGGTTAGGTTGTGTCTATGAGACTTTTCTTGCTTCTTGAGGTAGGCCTGTATTGCTATATACTACCCTCTTAGGACTGCCTTGGTTGCATCCCAAAGGTTCTGGATTATGGTGTCTTCATTTTCATTTGCTTCCATGTGTTTTTTAATTCTACTTTAATTTTCTGGTTCACCCATTCATTCTTCAGTAGGATGTTCTTTAATCTCCACGTGTTTGTGGTCTTTCCTAATTTTTTCTTGTGGTTGACTTCAAGTTTCATAGTGAGTGATCTGAAAATATGCATGGTTGATCTCAGTCTTCTTGTACTTATTGAGGGCTGATTTATGACACAGTATGTGATCTATTCTGGAGAATGTCCTATGTACACTTGAAAAGAATGTGTATTCTGTTGCTTTAGGATGAAATGCTCTGAATATATCTGTTAAGTCCATATGGTTCAGTGTGTTATTTAAAGCCATTTTTTTTCTTTTTGATTACCTGTTTAGATGATCTGCCCATTGCTGTATGTGGGGTGTTAAAATCGCCTATATTATTGTATATTATCAATGAGTTCCTCTATGTTTGTTATTATTTTATGTATTTTGGTGCTACCAAATTGGGGGCATAAATATTTATGATTCTTAGATCTTCTTGTTTTCCATATAGTGTACTTCTTCATCTCTTGTTTAAGTCTTTGGTTTAAGATCTAGTTTGTCTGATTTAAGTACGGTAACTCCGGCTTTCTTTTGATGCTATTAGCATGATAGATGGTGTTCCATTCTCTCACTTTCAATCTACAGGTGTCTTTAGGTCTAAAATGAGCCTCTTGTAAGCAGCATATAGATGGGTCTTGTTTTGTTATCCATTCTGATATCCTGTGTCTTTTGAGTGGAGCATATAGTTCATTTACATTCAGAGTGATTATTGATAGATATGAATTTAGTGTAATGGTATTACCTGTAAAGTCGTTGTTTCTGAAGATTTTCTCTGTTCCTTTCTAGTCTTTGTTGCTGTTGGTCTTTCTTTCCCACCCTTTAATATTTCTTGCAGGGCTGGTTTAGTGGTCACAAACTCCTTTAGTTTTTGTCTGGAAAACTCTTTATCTCTTCCTCTATTCTGAATGACCCTTGCTGGATAGAATATTCTTGGCTTCATGTTTTTCCCATTCAGCACATTGAGTATATCATGCTACTTTCTTTGGTTTGCCAGTTTCTGTGGAGAAATCTGCTGCTAACCAGATTTGCCTTCCCTTGTTGCTTTCAGGATTCTTTCCTTATCTCTGTATTTTACAAATTTTGCCAAGATTAGTCTTGGTGTTGGCTGTCTTTTGTTGATTTTGATGTGAGTTCTCTGTGTCTCCTGGATTTGGATGTCTGTTTGTTTCCCCAGATTAAGGAAGTTTTCAGCTATCATCTTCTCAAATAAACCTTCTGCCCTTTTTCCTCCCTCTCTTTTTCTGGGAGTCCTATGATATGAATGTTATTAAGCTTTGTAGAGCCACTGAGTTCCCTAAGTCTATATTTGTGATCCAATATTTTTCTTTCCCTCTTCTTTTTGCCTTCATTATTTTTCATAATTTTATCTTCTGTAACACTTATTCATTCCTCTACTTCTTCCATCCTTGTGATCATTACATCCAGTTGGTTTTGCATCTTGGTACTAGCATTTTTTATTTCGGCCTGACCAGTGTTTAGGTCTTTTATCTTTATGGTAAAGGTCTCTGTTTTTTTTCTATGCTTTTTCTCAAGCCCAACTAGTATCTAATGTTTGTTGTTTTAAATTCTGATTCAGGCATATTACTTATATCTATTTTCATTAGATCCCTGGCCATGATCTTTTCTTGTTCTTTCTTTTGGTATGAGTTCTCCATTTTGGTGTTTTTGTCTACGACTCTGTCTTTTTTTGTGTTAGGAAAGCCTGTGTGTAATTGTATGTATTTCTACTAGAGCTGAAGCTTTGTAGCACTCTGTGATCAGTAGACCTGGTGTATGTATGTGTGGATGGTTGTGTTGGTCTTCTGGAGGAGGGGCCCACTACTACTCTGGCTCTCAATCACACTTTCCCTAGTAAAAAAGGCACCGGAAGAGCACAGTGGGGCATGGCTTGTGCACACAGCTCAAGCCTCCACTGTGTGTGCTTTGCTGCTAGCTGAAGT